TATATATATATTGCATAATTTGTTTTGTTTATAAATTAAATTAATAAATGATGAAATTTCTTTTAAAAAAGTCAGATACAAACTGAAATCAGCTCTTCTGGTCTGTTTCATTTTTTAGACTTGGATACAGATAGATACACTGGAAAAATGTTTTCTGTAATCTTTAAATCTAAAATAACTTTCTGGTTCTGCGCTCTTATTTAAGTCATGAGTTGTGTTTTGCCACTAGATGTCAGCCTCCTCATTTAAAGATTTAAACAGGAGACGTTTATCAGGTGTTGAAGGATTTTCTCTGGAGAGTCCGTTAAGACCGTTAGTTTCARCAAATACCAGACTTCTAGAGTTACCAATAAATTAAACTGTAGACGTCAAAAAAGAAATCATTAGAGATTATGAATCCTGACTGGTCTGGGTTTTCCTCCTTGACCTTGTTGTCCCTGTTCACAGATACCTTCATCTAAAACTGCYCGTCTTTAATGTTTTGTTTATTTACAGATCCCATCAGGAGCTTCCAGTCGTCCTGCAGCTTCCTGCTGAAGTAACGAGGCCTGAAACCTGCAGCCGGTGTGTGGGGGACGATGTTTCTCAGCAGAGGCAGGCTGTAATGATGTGAAGGCAGAGACTCTCCGCCGCAGTAATTAGAGGCAGGTAATTCTCTCCCGCCAGCTTCCCTCCACATCATGAAGATAAGGACTTCCTCTCCTCTGCAGACGAGCGGCAGTAAAACCACACCTGACTCAGAGCAGACTGTAGCTGAGCTGCAGAATAATATTTTCACCAAACACTAATTATTATRTGACGATGGAGAAAGATGCACATTTATAGTGGAACTCACCCCCCCTGTGAAAGTATAACTCCGCGGTGTGCGGGGGCTTCACACATTAATGCAGGGGCCTGCAACATGTGGTTCGAAGGCCACATGTGGCCCTCAACTAAATTGCTCCGGGGGCCACCAGTTACTGCAGGTCAACAGCTCAGGGGCCGAACATCCAGCAATTCAAGTCATTCTGTAAACAAACCTAGTATTACAAACATCTGTTACCTCTGAAATAGTTTGTTTTGCTGCATTTAATCATGAATACAACATACAGAACAACAATAAAACAAAAACAATAACACATTCTGTCTCCTATTTAACATAAATATTTCGAAATCTCTGACTTACCAAATTTTTAAACCAATTTTATTTTCACTTTCCCAGTTTTATCTTCAACTGCTTGTAGTTTTAACTGTCTTGGATGTTCATTGAAATGTTTTTACCAGCTTGTAGCCAAGATTCTGATGTTTCTGTAGACAGAGTCTATGTCTAATTAAAAGAACTTAAAATAATGAAAGTAGAAAACCGAGGGTTTGGGTTTAAGAGATGAATGAACCAATTGGTGGGTTGAACTTTCGTCACTCGCGGGCCGGATGTGGCCCACGGGCCTCCAGTTGAGTAGCCCTGCCCTGCGGTTTCTTTGCAGCGGCACTTTGAAGCTTTGATCAAAAATAGCACATTTATGCTTCTAAGATCTGTACCAGTGGTGGGCACAGCTCTGCTAATCCGCTAATAGCAGAACTAACTTCTCATTTAGCTGATTAGCTTTTTTGCTAACTTTAGAAACGATTAACTCCCACTAAATTATGTTCCTCTAATTTTAGTCCACTAAAAAATTCACAAGGGTAAGATCAACTTTATGTATGTAGGAGAGGTGGCTTAAGGTGSCATTAAGCTTCTCTCACATCTCTCATACACATGGTTATGAGGAAAGTTTTACCAAGGTATTTCTCATTACTTTTAATATCTTGACTGTGCGAAGTGAAAAGTGACACAATAAGTGAACGTTCAGACGAGTTCAAGTTGATTCATAAAAGACTATGCAATCATTTATTTACAYAAATTGAACAAATCRTAAGT